TTTAATAGGGTTTTCACTCAAGAATATGCACCATTATTGCAAAGAAATCACTAAAATCAGGTAAATGTGTTACTTATATGTAAATAATTTCAAAAACAAAACTATTCAAATTTGCCCCCAAAATGTAATAAAAATTATATTTAAATGGCCTGTAGGTGCATTTTAATATGTTTGATATGAAGTGGAAGGATGATTTTTCCACCTTCAAAAGGAAGAGGGTCTACCTCAGGGGTTGTGAGCAAGTACATTCTGTTCCCATCTAGTCCTTGTATATTTTCCACAAGTTTTTCCTTTTGGATCTAATATAACACATACATCACGTACATTATTTGAAAGGAGCAGCTATATGGCAACTTTAAGAGACTGAGGAGGACCAGTAAGCCCTGAGAGAAGGGGTGCGGCTAGGGATGAGGCAGGCTGGCCGCCTTAGTGACAGCCCTGTGTTCACGGGGGCCAGGACGCACACACAGGCCCCCAGGCTCCGAGTCTGAGAGGAGATCCTCCTTCGTGAGTGGCAGGCTCACAGCTGCCAAGCCCAGAGACCAGGGCTGACACTGACGATTTCAGTTCATCAATTTACAAGGAACATGAATATCGGAAGGACTAGTTACTCACCGGCTGGGCAGTGCCTTTTCTCCCACACGGACCCGTATGTATCGTAATCAGAGTTGGTGGTCAGCGGCTTGGAGGAGAGTGCACTCCCTGATTTGGAGGTTAGTGGCATCCATCCAGCCATTCACCTGATGGAGGGCCATCACCGCCGTAGACCTTGCCCGTGGGAGGTGGCCCTCTTGCCGAGACACGGACTGCGTATAGAGGTCCAGCTTCATTGGCTTCATGACTTCCCTTCTCTACGTTTGGCTGAATAACCCCCTCCCTTCTAAATGAAAGTGCGCACATAAAAGTTGCAGTCAGATCCTGTTGGCTTAGACACCATTCTTTCTTTTTAAGGTTGACCCTGAATATGTCTGTGACTTCATCCATTCCAATGTTCAACATTTATAAGGAATCTCTATTCATTTATAACTAAAGCTTACGGGGTGGAGTGGATCTCACTGTAGCTTCCAGATCCACCCGGCAAGGCACAGGGAGGATTAGAGGGGACGGGCGGCGGGCTGTCACCTCTCCACGACTCACTGTTGCTTGACTTCTCTTTCAGAACCACTTGTGCCTTTGTGTTCCCCCTGACTGTTCCAGGGTCACCCCCTTCCTCTTCTTGGAAGCTCCCTGAGAACCTGGATCCTGAGAATGGCCCATCCAGTCCCACCTCAAGCCCCCAGAGGAGATTCTGGCCATGAAAGCATGGAGCCCACTGCTGTCTTGGAATAGATTCTGTTCTCAAGACCCGTGTTCTCAGGGAGCTTCCAGGCCTGATTATAGTTGCTTTCCATAGTCACAGGTCTGCACAGAGATTATACGAACTAATGTATGTGAAAGAAGAGGTCAGGTCATTCCATTTTTTCCAACAAATAATCATTGAACGCTACTGTTTGTCAAGATCGACTTCGGATACAAAGGGAGCAGCAAGAACAAAACAGGCAGATATGACAATGATGAATTTTGCCAGATTCCCTCCGTTGAGGTGTATCATTTGGCAGTCCCTCCACAGAAGTGTGGGCACAGCTCTTCTCCACCGCGTCATCAACAGTCTGTTCTCAAAAAGTTGCTTCTAAAGTCTGTCCTCTTTTAGATTTTTGCCAAGCTGATGGTGAGAAATGGTATCTTGATATGGTTTTAATTTGTGTTTCTATTTGTATGAACAAGCTGTCACATATTTTTATATATTTAAGGATCATCTGTATTTCTTCTGTCAACTATCTTTTTGTATCTTTTGCCCATCGTTACTTATTTCATATATTTTTGCTTTCTCACCTGCACCTTTTTCACCTTTTTAAAAATTAGATTGGTTAGTGGTTTTCTACTGAGTGATTCAAAGGAATAGGTTATTTATTTGTTTACTTATTATTTACTTATTTACTGCTTTTCTGTTTTTTAGTCATTAATTTCTTCTTACCTTTAAAATTCATACACACACACACATACACATATATATATGTTTTCATTGGTATTTTTCTAGCTTTTCAATTTGCATATTTAATTTATTTATTTTAATTTTTATTAACATGTAGCTAAGGCTATGGATTTTCCTGGATGTATTCATGGAGTTGTGGTCTATAATCCTTAGGTATCTAGTTTGTCATCATTTTCTAAAAGTCTGCAATTTTTTTCCATCTCTTTTTATCCAAAAATTATTTAATAGAGTGTGTGTCTATTGTTAATTTCCAACAATGACAAAACAACAACAGAGGCTTGGCAGTATTCATTCATCCCACGTGTGCCTGTAAGAATGCTATTTGTATTATTTCTATTTTTGAATAAGGCACTGAGGGTTTCTTTGTGACCTGATAGTAAATATTCTGTGTGTAGAAGGTGTAGTTTTTATTGTCGGGTTAGGATATTAGTGGATTATATGCATAGAGTTTAATTTATATTGTCTCTTACTGTGTTTTTCATCTCTACATTTGCTATCTTGAACTGAAAGTCCCCTATTATTTCTGTTTTTTAAAGTTTGTTCTTGTACCCACTGTAGTTTCTGCTTTATGAGACCTGGGCTACGTTGTTGAATGTATATTTATTAAAATTTGTTATATTTTCATTGTGAATTATGTCCTTTGACATTTTAAAGTGTCCTTCTTCATCTTATTTAATGCTTTTTAATGAATTCTACCTTGTCTGGGATCAAGATCATAGCCCAGATTTTTAAATTTTGTTTTTATCTGTGTTTTCCTGATTTTTATTAACCCACTCACCCCTTTTAAAATAACTTTCTGAGTCTCTTTGATTTGGATGTCCCTTGTGAAGAGCATAGGCTGACGCAGAACTAAAATGAAAACGTGCTCTTTCAATAATGCATTAAGCCTTTTTACATTACTATTATAGCTTGTATGTCTGACCTCAGTCTACCACACTCTTCTGTGTCACATTTATGCAAATATGTCCTGTAAATAAATAGCATCATTTATCATGTTCTCATTTGCTTTTTTTCTGGAATATCTTGATGTTGAGAAAGGTTTATATTTTTGTTCTAAAGTTACTTTTATAGTAACATCTTTATGTAATATATATCCCCTTCCTTTTTTAAAAATATACTGTCTATTCATCCCTTACTCCAAGTAATAATGGAATTTCCTAAAACCTTTTTCACGCTCCCCTCCTGCTTTCTTCCTTAGTATCTAATTTGGAGTGATATCCTTTCACTCCTAGTTTTTACTCAAAAATTTTTATTTATTATAAAACCAGTGAACTTACTCTACTTCCCATACAGTTTCTCCTTCTTCCCCTGTTTTTTGTTAGCTGTATGATATTTCTATTTCAAAGCATATAATGTAAAATGTTATTCTGTCATCTTTATCCCCATTATTTAGTCTCAGTCTTCAGTTAAATAGATTGAAACGTGCTGTATCACATTGTAAGGCAAATGCTTTTTACGATTCTGGGGGTTTTTGTTTGTTTTGGGAGATCATTCTCTAGTAGATTCCTCATGCAGGGATTTGGGGAGCACTACTCCCCAAGTCCTTGCAAGTTCTTTGTTACTCATCTTTGGTCTTTATACCCAAACGTCAGTCTGGACAGATATAAAATCACTTCGTCCTCAGAAGGACAACCTTACCTTTACACATGCTTATTCCTGACTATTCCGGCTCTAATTCTGGGGTTTTGTTTTGTGTGTTAGTTTTCTATTGCTGCTGTAACAAATTACCACACATTTAATGGCTTAAGGCAACACAAATTTATTCCCTTTTTTCCCTGGAGGTCAGAAGTCTAAAATCAAGGTGTTGGAAGGGCACTGGAGGCTCTTGGGGAAATTTTGTTTCCTTGCTTTTTCCAGCTTCTAGACATCATCTGCATTCCTCGGGTGTGGCACATCACCCCAGTCCCTGCTGCCATCACCACAGCTCCTTTTTACTGACTTTGGCCCGCTCGCCTCACCCTCACAAGGACCTTTGTGATTGCACTGGGCTCACCCAGATAATCCAGAACAGTCACCTCCTCTCTAGACCTTTAATTTAATCACATCTGCAAAGTCCCCTTTGCCATATAAGGTAACACAGCCACAGGTCCCTGGGACTGGGACGCAGACATCTTTAGGGGTTATTATTCAGCCTAACACGTTTTGTTTTCTCCTTGAGAGTCCCTTATTTCCTGGAAACCACAATGCCATGAAAAAATATGCTTTACGCAGGATCGCATTGTTTTCTTGTGGGAGGTCCTTCGGCGTAGCTAGCCTGCCACTCTGCTAGAAGCAGACGTCTTCTTAAGAAGTTCCTAAACGCTTTGCACAGGCTCTGCCCCAGACTTTTGGACTCAGCACCTCCAGGGTTAGGTTTATAAACCTGTATTGTGAAAACTATTCCCAAGGTGATTCTTACAATAAAGCAGAGCTGAGAGGCTCTACCCGACACCTTGCTCGTATCCAGAGGCTGAGACAGCAGGAACGGTCAGAGCTGATGGGGTGAGGGGTGGGGGAGGGACACTCGGGGGCTCTGGGTCTCGGCTCAGTGCCGGGTGCCACACGCCTGCCCTCCTCTCCCCGCTCCCCGTGCCCCGCCACCCCGCTCCAATCCCTGGGGGCCTTCTTCCATTTATTGGTAACCCTGGGTCAGCCTTCCTATGTGACCTTACAAGGTGAATGGAGACTTACGCTCTAGCACTAGAGGTCATGAAAGACAGAATAGCTTTACCTCCCTAATTCCTGCTTGTCCTTTAAGGGCATTTACAAGGGGAAAAAAAGGCTCTTCTGGCTGAAACCTTTCCGAATCCATCTCTGCCAAGTATAAGAGTATGATCTCTCCTCCCTTTGACTCTTACAACTCTTGGAACCTTGCACAACGTCTTCTCAACCAGATGCTCTTCAAGGGTGGGGACTATGTCCAGTTCATCATCAAAACCCTATAGCCCTTAGCCCATCATGTCAGCAGTGCCTGAACAGGACACAGAGCCCAGTTGCTCAGGGAGGTTTTATTGATGCGTTAGGATAGACGGGGCAATGGCCAGATGGCAGAGATAAACCTGAAAGCTCTGAAAACCCTCACAAGCTGAGGAAAAATTGGCACAAAGAGATGACTTGTTCCATGTCTTCTTGCTCCTGAGAGGGTCTGCACAGCAAAGCAGGTAAGGGAGTCCGGGAGTTTAGGCCCCTTGCAAAAATGGTCTCACTGAGAAAGACCTAAGAGAGGAGCACCATAGTTAAGAGCTAAAGTCCAGGGACACACTAACTGGACTGGCCAGGGTGTGACAAGCCAACCGCTCTCCACTCTCCCAGGACTGGGCACTGGAGCAGGGCTGGGATGCTCATGGCTTGCTGCTTTTGAAGTAGGAGTAGAGCCCCTTGGCCGTGAGGCCTCGCTTCCCTCCCTGCTGGGCGGCCTCCTGGCCTTGCGCCGCAGGCGCACTGGTGTGCAGGCTGCCCTGGTCCTGCCTTCGGATCACCGTCTCCCTCGCGTGGTCATCAACCCACTCCTGTCTCACCGCGGTGGGCTCCCTCTCTCCCGGCTCCCTCGCCACACTGTGCGTTGGGCACGCGCTGCTCCAGTCCTGTCTGCTGGTCACAGTGCTCGGCTCGATCTGGGCCTGTCCTCCCAGCTCTGTCTCTCCTGCCTCGTAACTGCTCACTTGTGTGTGTCTTGGACCACTGCCTGACTGCCGCTGGGTCTGTCCCTGCTCTCCAGCCCCTGTGTGGCTTGCAGTCTGGCTCCTGTCCTGCTGCACAGTCTGGGTGGCACCTCCCTGTGTCTGAACATGTCCTCCTGTCACCACTTGGCTGGTCTGGGTCCTGTCTTGACCATGGGTCTCAGTCCCTCTGGTTTGGCCACCAGTGGACTCCCATGAC